TGCCATACACATTCAGCAACTAACAACAAGTTGTCGTAGGTCCCTATAAATTTTCAGATTTATATATTGAGTCTAGAAGCAACATTCTTGCAACTATACACCATTGAATGTCGCAATCTTTGTCTCATATACCTTATGGTTGCCATATTAAAGCAATATCCTGAGAACTTCATTACGAATTATAGAACCTTTGCGTAATGCAATCTATCTTTATTTCTACGTGACGTCAGTTGGCTTTGACTTCTATTTTCTCGAATTTCAGGAATACGTGAGCTTTGCCTGCTGATTTCTTTAGGCAAATGGTCAATAATGTCCTGCATTTCATAAAGATACTGTTCATTTGTTTCATCTTTCGCACAACAGTCCAAATTACTTGTTAAAAGTTCTTGCTTTATCTTCTGGATTTTTTGTTTTCGAAAGTATATGAAGAAGGAATGAGCTTTTCATCTCTACTAACATAGATGTTGGATCATGACTAACGAGTTTGTACTGTTGTTGTTTGAAGTGTTGTTGTGCCGATTGTTTGAAATTCATATTTTTATACAAAATAAAAAAATAAAAAAAATAAAACTAACTTTATTTTTTATTTCGGGAAAATTTCATGAAAATTCATGGGGTAGAAAAGAGGTTAGAAAAGAGGTTAGAAAGAGGTTAGATCTAACCTTCTACCCTAAATTATATTTTTTGGGTCCTTTACACTCATTACGAAGAAGTCTTGACAAAACATTTACGTTCATGTTTGACAAAACATTACGAAGAAGTCTTGACAAAACATTTACGATGAAATCATGACAAATTCAAGAGGGTAGAAAAAGAGGTTAGAAAAGAGGTTAGATCTAACCTTCTTAACCCTAAATTATATTTTTGGGTCCTTTACACTCATTACGAAGAAGTCTTGACAAAACATTTACGAGAAGTCTTGACAAATTCAAGAGGTAGAAAAGAGTGTTAGAAAAGAGGTTAGATCTAACCTTCTACCCTAAATTATATTTTTGGGTCCTTTACACTCATTACGAAGAAGTCATGACAAAACATGTACGATGAAATCATGACAAATTCAAGAGGGTAGAAAAGAGGTTAGAAAAGAGGTTAGATCTAACCTTCTACCCTAAAAGTATTTTTCAATACTTTTTCAGCACTTTTCCGTAGTTATAT